CAGGCAATGTTCTTAACCTCTGAGCCATCTCTCCAGCCCCCTCTTTCAGCCATTTTAGATTCCTCCGTTGAGAATTCTCTGTTTATGTCTGTACTCCATTTTTTTTTTTATTGGATTATGTGATCTTTTGGTGTCCAGTTTCTTGAGTTCTTTGTATATTTTGGAGATCAGACCTCTGTCTGTGGGGTTAGTGAAGATCTTTTCCCATTCTGTAGGCTGTCATTTTGTCTTGTTGACCGTGTCCTTTGCATTACAGAAGCTTTTCAGTTTCAGGAGGTCCCATTCATTAATTGTTTCTCTCAGTGTCTGTGCTGCTGGGGTTATGTTTGGTTGGTTTTTGAGACAGTTTCTCTGTATCAGTTCTGGCTGCCCTGATAGAGATCTGCCTTCCTCTGCTTCCCAAGTGCTGGAATTAAAGGTGTGTGCCACTACCGCCCAGCTCTCCTGGCTTTTCTTAACAATTTCATGTATTTGTTTTGAGACAGGTTCTCCCTATATTGCCTGGGCTGGACTAGAACTCACTAGGGCTTTTTGACTTCTCAAGATAGGGTTTTTTTGTGTAGCCCTGGCTGTCCTGAAACTTGCTTTGAAGACCAGATTGGCCTCAAACTTAGAAATCCTCCTGCCTCTGCCACCCAATGGCTGGGACTAAAGGCATGCACCACCACCACCCGACTTGTGTAGAACTCTTTCACTGAATTTGTTGCAGGTTGCTTGCATGAGGGTTATTTACCGAACCTGAGCAACTTAACAGTGGTTATACCATTTTGATAAAAATGACTTCCTCAGGCTGGAAAGATGGCTCAGAGGGTAAGAGTGCTGGCTATTCTTCCAGAGGTCCTGAGTTCAATTATCAGCAATCACATGGTGGCTTACAACCATCTGTAATGAGATCTGGTACCCACTTTTGGGCTACAGGAATGCCTGCAGACAGAACAGTATATATACATAATAAATCTTTGAAAAAATTATTTCCTGATATATCTTGGTGCTTTATATGTAATATGACTTTAAATTTTTAATTTCTTTTGCACCTGTGATCATTTCCCCCTTTCAAATTTTCTATAATTGGAATAATGACTGTCCTATTAATCTTCCATATACTCGATCCTGTATTTGCATGCTACTCTGTTTTTACTTTCTTATGTGTTGGTTTTTTAAGGCAATGTTTTACCGTGTATGCTTGGATTACCTGGACGTCATACAGACCTGTCTGCCTCTACCTTTTTTTTTTTTTTTTTTTTTTTTTTTTTTTTTTTTTTGGTTTTTCGAGACAGGGTTTTTCTGTGGTTTTGGAGCCTGTCCTGGAACTAGCTCTTGTAGACCAGGCTGGTCTCGAACTCACAGAGATCCGCCTGCCTCTGCCTCCCGAGTGCTGGGATTAAAGGTGTGCGCCACCACGGCCCGGCCTGCCTCTACCTTTTAAGTTCTGGGATTAATGCTATGCACCACCATGCCTGGGGTAACCTGTTTTGACAATTTCTCTTCTCCCAGGGTGAAGAGAAGTTCACCTTTATTGAGAAATGTAATAATCCCCGTTCTGTCACATTGCTGGTTAAAGGACCAAATAAGCACACACTGACTCAAATCAAGGATGCTATAAGAGATGGCTTGAGGGCTGTCAAAAATGCCATCGATGATGGTAAGAACCACACTATATTCGCATTGTGTTTTGTTAAAAGTCTAAAAGGCATGGCTGAATACTGTGTTCTTTAGTCTGTAATTTACACAGCCAGACACCATGCAAAAGTAACGTCTTCCTTTAAAATGATTGGTATGCTGTTTTTTATGGTATATCATTATTAAAAGTGAGTACAAGTGAGTGATTAAAATTGGTGGCTCTTGAGATATCAATTACTGAGTTATGGTTAGGTAGGACCATTTTGCTATTGGTTTTGATGCTTAAGAGGCGGGTCTGTGCTGAGGTATTGCCTCTTGGTATGGCACATACCTAGCATATATGAGATTTGCATTTACATCTCTAGTCCTGCAGGAACGGGTGAACTGCATATTACTAACTAATCACAGGTGAAGTGAAGTCATAAGAAGTTAAGTGCTTAATGTGTGTGTTTCTCCTTACAATGAGCTCTAAACTTGGTGTTTACTGGGTTTTCTCTCTTTTTCTCCATAACTTAGCATTTCCTTTCCTTGTCCAACAGGCTGTGTTGTCCCCGGTGCTGGTGCAGTAGAAGTGGCAATGGCAGAGGCTCTGATTAAATACAAGCCTAGTGTGAAGGGCAGGGCTCAGCTTGGAGTGCAGGCATTTGCGGACGCCTTGCTCATTATTCCCAAGGTTAGAATATTTACCTTAGTTTTATTTGCTGACAGCCTTTGGGCTAGAGTCGGTTGTAAATGTTAGTTTCCTAAACTATCTATGTCAGGCAAGGCAGGGTGGCACATGCCTTTAGTCCTAGCACCTGTGAGGCAGGGCAGGCTGATCTTGGCCAACTGATGTACATAGCATTTCAGGCCAGCCAGCAGTGTTTGTAGAGTTTAGAAGAATACCCACCCTACCACACCCCATGACAGACAAGCTGAAAATCTCTGCAGCTGTGCAGAGAAGAGTGGAGAAAAAAAAGGGGTAAAGCCAGCATGGAGGTCTGTCACAACGTAAGGACCAGTAGCCACATGGCAGGGAGGGAGGCTAAGTGGACAGATGACAGCTGCGTGGCGCCAGCCTGGGAAGCCGTTGTCTGTATGGGTTGTGCAAGGATGGGCATCAGTCTCTGAGGTACGTATTTATGGTGAGGGTTTATGACCAGTGCTTTGTTTTGCTGGGCTTGAGGTGTATTGGAAAGTCAGTCAACAACACCTGCCTGTCCCCTGGATGAGAACGTGGATGGTTCTGACCCCGTGCATGCAAACCACCACCTCAGTTATTGGTAGGGGGGACAGCTAGGGTTTTTATTTAATTCAAAATACTGTTGGTTTATTGTAGGCTTAACATTCGATTCTCAGTTTGTCTTTTCAAGAATTAAATCTGTTTGCTAGGTTCTTGCGCAGAACTCTGGTTTTGACCTTCAGGAAACACTAGTCAAAGTTCAAGCTGAGCATTCAGAATCGGGTCAACTAGTGGGTGTGGACTTGAACACAGGTGAGAATGCACCTTATTGTGGGGGTGGAGCTGGATGGAGTAAATGACAGACTGAAGAGTCTTAGTATTCTTCTGGTTGGGTACCAGTGACACATAACTGGACTGACTAGATTCAGGCATAGAGTGGATATTTTAATTGGTGGAGTAAAGCTAGTGGCATGGTTGTATCCCTGCTTTTAGTCCCTGTAACACAAATATGCACATATAAGAGGCCTACCGTCCATACTGTCACTTAGTAGAAGGTATTGCTGAAATGAGGAGTCAAAAGCCCATTTAGTGTAGGTCAACAGGAACGTATCAAGAACAAGAATATCGGGCTGGAGAGATGGCTCAGAGGTTAAGAACATTGCCTGCTCTTCCAAAGGTCCTGAGTTCAATTCCCAGCAACCACATGGTGGCTCACAACCATCTGTAATAGGGTCTGGTGCCCTCTTCTGACCTGCAGGCATACACACAGAATATTGTATACATAATAAATAATAAATAAATATTTAAAAAAAAAGAACAAGAATATCCAGATGTTTGGTAAGCAGTGAATACTTTGTAAATCATTTTTAAAGAGAGAGATCAAGCACACACCAAAGATACTTTGGAGAGGAGCAGTGATTGGGGGAATCTGGTGCTTTCTAATGGATGAGTAGTCAATGATAAGATTCTGAGGTTGACATGATGCAGCCTGTGATCCCAGAGCGGAAGTGCAGGAACAGAGCCTGAAAGCCGTCTTGGCTACATAGCAAAACACTGCCTAAAAATACTCTAAATTGGCCCTTGTTTCCTATTCTAGAATTGGCAGGGTTTGTTTATAAAATAGAATGGTTTCTTGAAAAAGACATTTGATGGGGGCTGGAAAGAGATGACTTGCGGTGTCTTAGAGCACTGGCTGCTCTTTTAGAGGTCCCAGATTCAATTCCCAGCACCATATGACAGCTCAGAACTGCCTATAACTCCAGTTCCAGGGGATCTGACACCCTCAAACAGACCAACATGCAGGCAGAACACAAAAGTGCATGTGATTTTTATTTTTAAAAAGGGGATCTGATAATACGTAGTTTCAAGGTGTGGTCTTTTGCAGGTGAGCCGATGGTGGCGGCAGAGATGGGTGTGTGGGATAACTACTGTGTGAAGAAACAGCTGCTTCACTCCTGTACTGTGATTGCCACCAACATTCTCCTGGTGGATGAGATCATGAGAGCCGGGATGTCCTCCCTGAAAGGTTGAAGAAGTCTCCCTTGTTGCTGCATCTGCAATAAATACTACAGGATGACATGGGGAAATAGTCGTTTTTATCCAAGCTTCAAGTGATTTGGAAAAGAAATATTCTCGTCCCGGTTGAAGAAAGGGAACAGGACATTTGGCACCTATTCAAATTATAATACTGTAAAAAAAATTTCAGAGTGTACGCATAAAGCAGACACTGAATAAGAAGTTTCAGCTACAATGATACAAAATTACATATTAAGATAAGTGTGTTATCTACCTTGTTCCTTAAATGTTATTTGAAAAATTGTAATGGTTTTCTCCTAAACAAGGCATAGTGGAGCTGTAAGCCTAGCACTTTGGGGAAAAAAAAAAATGGTCAGGGCATTCTGCTCTAACTCAGGCTGCAGGAGACCCCCCAGCTCAAAAGATTTTTTTTTAGCGGATGGATGTATTATAAATTATCCAACTAACTCTGTTAAACATGTAAGATTCTTACCAGTGCAAAACACAAGTGGTTAATTTATGGTTTTCATAGTGTCTCTAATAAATACTTAAAGGTACTGGATCATTCACACTTCTGAAGTAACTGCTAAAAAATGCTTCCCTCAGAAAAATGAATTTGAGGTTATCACTTGGAGCCTGGGGCAGGGATAACAATTCTGAAGCCCCCTTGCAAACAGCTTGATAACGCTAGCGACCGAAATGGTTACAAGAATCACAGCCAGAATATGGGTGAAATATAGCGATTTTTAGGCTGTTTCCAAACCTTTTAAGTTTTAGATTTTCCCATCATACCTTTCACAAGTTTTGACAACTTTTTCTCATCTAAATACTCTTGGTTTCCGTGTATTTATATGTTCGGTTATATATGCCATCTTCCCAAGTGGAGTGTTGTGGTGAGGATCCTCAGTATTCTCTACAATGAGTGAAATAAAAAGGTGAAACCTGGCTGGGCAGTGGTGGCACACGCCTTTAATCATAGCGGGAGGGAGATGCTCCAATGCTACAGAGAAACCCTGTCTAGAAAAACAGCCCCAAAAAAGGTTGATCCGGCACACCTTTAATCCCAACAGAGGCAGGCAATATCTGTGAGTTTGAGGTCAGCGTGGTCTTGAGGTAGTGCCAGGACAGCTAGGGCGCTATTTAGAAGTGTTCTACTGCTCATGCTCAGTTCCCAGCAGTCAGACTGGGCTGCTGCATCTCTAGCAACGTGGGTACGCACGCACTTCTTAGCATTACGTTGACAAAATATTTCACAATATATGAATTTAGTTCAAATGGATAAGCTAGTGTTTAATTCATTCATGGGCCGTTCCCGCGGGCGATGTACCAAGGAGCGCCACCTGGGTCTCCCAACAGCTCCGCCATTGGTCAAAGAGAACAGGGTGCTCACCCTCAAGCAAGTGCGCATGCGTGAGAAAGTCAACGCAGAGACCGGTTTCGAGCAGCGCATGCGTGTTGATTCCTGGCTCGTCAGCATGGATACCTCGTTCCATCTCTGGTCTCTGCTGTGGTTCCTGTCCAGTCCCAGACTTCAGCTAGGTCAGTGTTCGGCCCAGTGCCTGTTTACCCCATTCCTGAGCACCCGAAAAGGGATGGCACCTAACCTTTCAGATGCAGCCTCCGCCTCGGAGGGCTTTTGCGGGATCTCGGGTCGCTTGCTGGGGGCTGCCCACCATGAAACTGTGAAGCAGGGTCTGTCTGGTGTGCAGCTCTGCCTGCACGCTGGTTTTCCTGTCCTCCCGATCCCACTTCCCTATCTTGAGCTGGTGCACTCACGTGTGATGCATAGCTTTTATTTGTAGAAAGTCAGCTTTAAAAAGTCAAGATCACAAAGTCACACAGAAATCCGATGCCACTTCCCACTTTACAACTAACAGTACCGTACCGTCTGTTTAAATACACCTTTTTTTTCTCTAGTTACTGGTTGCATTGAACTTTTATTGTTTTGTTTTGATTTTCTAGACAGAGTTTCTCTGTGTAACAGCTCTGACTGTCCTGGAAATCGCTTTGTAGACCAGGCTGGCTTCGAACTCACAGAGATCCAACTGCCTCTGCCTGCCAAATGCTGGGATTAAAGGTGTGCACCTTTAAGGGCTTGGACTGAACTTTCTGAGTGTTTTGCCTCTATGTATGTTTGTGCACCATGAGTGTGCCTGGTGCTCACGGAGGTCGGAAGAAAAGTGGTAGGATCCCTGGAACTGAAGAAACATGGTTATAAACCACTGATGGGGTGCAGGAACGTGGGGTGTCCGCAAGAGCAACAGGTGTCCTTACATGCGGAGCCGTTCCCCTAGCACCCTGTTTTATCTTTGAGGCAGAGTAACTACGGCTCCCTGTCTGGCCTGGAACTCTATGTAGTAGAAGACCAAGCGAACCTCGAATTCATGGATGCCACAGGTTTCTTAGAGCTGGGATTATAGGCATTAAAAAAAAAAAATGGTCTTAGGTTTTATTTTGTTGTGTTTTGAGACAGGGTCTTACTATGTAGCTCTGAGTGGCCTGAAACTCACAGAATCCACTTGCCTCTGCCTCCCATGTGCTGGAATTGAAGGTGTGTGCCACCATCCATTCGTTATTTTATTTCATTTTTGAAACAGTCTCTGTTAGGTTGGGAGCGGAGGTCCCAGCCCCCAGGCCTGATCTGGACTTCAAATCCCAGCAGGCCAGGTCCTGACCCCTCCCTGGGGTACTTAAGTGATCCCCCAAAAGACGAACACGTGGTCCCCCTTTCTTCCTCCCGGGAATCGCTTTTCTGCAGCTTCCCGTTTCCCCCTCGGGGCCACCCGAGAGCGCAGATCTCCCATTAAACCTGGATATTTTTTAATTCGGCCTGTTTTGATTTGGCTTGATTGGGAATTTTTGTGTCGTCAGAGAGCTCACTTAGGAAATATTCCTAACAGTCTCACTCTATAGCCAAGGCTAGCCTCAAACTCAAGGTCCTCCTACCCCAGCCTCTCAATTCTTTTTTTTTTTTTAATTTATTTATTTATTAAAGATTTCTGTCTCTTCCCAGCCACCGCCTCCCATTTCCCTCCCCCTCCCCTAATTCAGCCTCTCAATTCTTAAGTGCTGGGATTACAGGTGAGTCACCCCAACTGTCTTTTTGTTTTTGTTTTTGTTTTTTTTCTAGACAGGGTTTCTCATGTAGCCCTGGCTGTGCCGCAGCTCTTGGCCTTGAACTCACAGAGATCCACCTGCCTCTGTTCTCTGGGTACTGGGATTAAAGATGTGTGCCACCATTGCCTCACACCCCCATATGTCTTTTTAAAACTTTTTTTCTCTTGAGACAGGTCTTACTTTGTAGTCCTGGCTGACCTCACTGTGTAGACCAGACTGGCCTCAAAATCACAAATATCTATGTCTCCAGCTCCAAATGCTAGGATTAGAGGTTGTATACCTCATCAGTGGACTTTAAAAGGGGGGAGGCTTTTTTTCCTCTGTGTATATGTGTACCATGTGTGTACAGATATTGGCCTGGTCCCTGAAACTATTTTTAAAATTTTAGTTTGCTTGTTTATATTGTAATTGTTGGATATTTAATTCCATTTAATTTGATATTTCCCTACTTACTCATTTTGACCCCTTGGAATTATTCCTGAAATGGATAGAATTGTGTCAGAATGAGAAGAGGGCTAGATACAGCACCCTGAAAGTCTGGGTGTGGTCACTCATCCCTTTAATTCCCGAGAGGCAAGGGTAGGCAGATCTCTGTGCATTCTAAGCCAGCCCAGGGTTGAAGGGAAGGTGGGGACCCAGTGCCTTCTCGCCTCTGTGGGTACCAGGCACACACACACAGAGTACACTTATATGCATGCAGACGAACACTCATAAGATAAAATATTTTTTAAAAAGCTGGGTATGTTGGAGCGCATCTTCAGTCTGAGCACTCAGGAGGCAGGAGCTAGTGAAACTCTGTGAGTCTGGGGCCAGCCCAGTCTACATAGTGAGTCCCAGATGCGCCAGGTCTGCAGAGGCCCCATCTCAACAAAGGCTTTAAAGGCAAATGGTGAGGTGGTAAGATGTATGCACGCATTGCTCCTACCTGTCCTGTTCTGCAGGAAGTGCTCAGGCTCCTGCCATGGTGCAGCTGCCAGGTGGACAATTTTTGATGGGGACCGATGCTCCAGATGGCAGAGACGGCGAAGGGCCTGCCCGGGAAGTGACAGTCAAATCCTTCGCCATTGACGTGTTTCCCGTCACCAATAAAGATTTCAGGTATTTCAAGTTTTGGTGTTTTTTTTGTTTTGTTTGCAGGGGAGGTAAAAGTCTTTTCTAATTCCAATCTTCATGTCTCAAAAATAAATAAAGTTTGATACAAGAGATAGCTGTAAGACATTGAATAGAAGCTGGGTGGTAGTGGCGCACACCTTTAATCCCAGCATTCAGGAGGCAGACGTAGGTGGATCTCTTGAGTCTGTCTGGGTTTGAGTCCAGTCTGGTCTACAGAGTGAGTTCCAGCTACTCAACCAGTGAAATCCTGTCTCCAAAAACCAAAAAAGAAAGAATATATGTTAAATAGAAAAGTATCTTACTAATCACAAAAAATATTACCTCATTTGTTATTTTTTAAATTCTGTACATGAGTGTTTTGCTTGTATGTGCACCCTCATGCTTGCCTGGCACCCTCAGACGTGAGAAGAGGAAGCCAGATTCTCAGGAACAGGAAGTATGGAAGGTTGTGAGTTGCCATGCACGTGTTGGGAATCCAACCTGGCTCCTCTTTTTTTTTTTTTTTTTTTTTTTTTTTTTGGTTTTTCCAGACAGGGTTTCTCTGTGGCTTTGGAGCCTGTCCTGGAACTAGCTCTGTAGACCAGGCTGGTCTCGAACTCACAGAGATCCGCCTGCCTCTGCCTCCCGAGTCTGGCTCCTCTTTAAGAACAACAAATGCAGCTGGGCATGGTGGCACACGCCATTAATCCCCACACTCAGGAGGCAAAGACAGGTGGATCTCTGAGATTGAGGCCAGCCTGGTCTACAAAACAAGTTCCGGGACAGCCAGGGCTACACCGAAAGACCCTGCCCCCCCAAAAATCAATGAGTAAGTAAATAAAAGCAAAACATACTGATACCGAAAAAAAAAAAAACCAAAGCATAAGTAAATCTGATGCACAGTGCTAGTCAAGAAGAGCCAGAGCCAGACTCTGCTGTCCAGCTCCATGTGGCACCTTTGGAGCGGTGAGTGGTGGTGCCAGGCTAGAATCCCCGTGCCGGGGAGACTAAGGCACAACTGTGCGGTGAAGATGAGATTGGTTGTGTTTCAGGCTAGCCTGATCTATAGAGAAGGCCTGACTCAAAAAATAAATAAGCCAAAAGGACATTTTCAGAAAGAAAATGCCATAAAAACAAATGATTGCAGAGACAGTCGGAAATTTTGGAAGTGATTGATACAATTGTCTTTTGAGTTATAGTATCATCGCAAATGTATACTTTCTTGGTTTGTTTTAGTGACAGTCTCTTGTTTTAGCTCAGGCTGGTCTGGAACTCAAGGTCAGTTTCTTTCTCAGCCTCTTTTTTTTTTTTTTTGATTTTTCGAGACATGGTTTCTCTGTAGCTTTGGTGCCTGCCCGTGCTGGAACTAGCTCTGTAGACCAGGCTGGCCTTGAACTCCCAGAGATCCGCCTGCCTCTGCCTCCCGAGTGCTGGGATTAAAGGCGTGCACCACCGCCCGGCTTTTCTCAGCCTCTTGATTGCTGGGGCTACAGGTGTGTAGATGTGATTACATGCTTTTATTTATTTTGTAAAGTCCGAGAAAACGCTGAAGTCCGCCTGCCTCTGCCTCCCAAGTGCTGGGATTAAAGGCGTGCGCCACCACCGCCTGGCTGACAGGGTTGTTTATCTGCACAAAATAGTGACGATGACCGAGAGGAGTGTGCAGGCTCCTTTTAATCTTAGTTAGGGGAATTTCAGGGATGGTTAGGTCATCTCAAACACAATTGATTATGCAGGCAGCCGTTATATTAGTATATTTTTAATTGGTTGAGGCTTTATCTTTGGACATACTTGGGTAAGTTTTAAGGGGGTTGTAGGAATTGTCCTTGAGACATTGTGGGGCTGACTCAGGCCTTGTTTGTGTTCTCTCTCTCGTCCCTGTTGTCAGGAGTGTTTTGATTAACAGCCCTTTGTTTAAATAACTGAAATTTAGGCCTAGTTTGTGAAGTGGAGGAATTTTAGACCTCTCTATTTATTATACAGGGGAGTAAGCCTAGGGCTTCACCCCTGCTAAGCGAACATTCGAAGAATGAGTTGTCATCTTCAGCCCAGTATGTTGTATTAAAACTCACAGAACTATGCCGGGTGTGGTGGTGGCACACACCTTTAATCCCAGCACTGCCAGGCAGAGGCAGGCGAATCTCTGTGATTCGAGGCTAGCCTGGTCTAAAAAAGTGAGTTTCAGGATAATCAAAGATACACAGAGAAACCCTGTCTTCAAAAACAACAATAAAAACAAACAAAAAACTCTCAGACTTGCGTTCTGGAGAGATGGATCAGTGGTTAAGGTCACTTGCTCTTCTTGCTGAGGACCAGGGTTCAATTCCCAGCACCCACATGGCAGCTCACAACTACCTGTAATTCTAGTTCCAGGGGATCAGATGCCTTTTTCTGGCCTCCTTGAACACAAGACAAAAAAGTCTTGCATATACATACATGCAGGCAAAATATGCATACACATTAATAAAAATGAATATATCTTTTTAAAAAGCTCACAGAACTAGAAGTAGAGGATTCAGGCTTGGTGGTGTACCCCTTTAATCCCAGGAGAGGCAGGAGGATTTCTGTGAGTTATGGTGTACATAATGAGTTCTAGGACAGCCAGGACTACATAGAAAGACTCGAAATAACAACAACAACACACTAGATGTAGAGAGATGTCTCAGCAGTTAGGAGTGCTTCCTGCTCTTCCAGAGCCAAGCTCAGTTCCCAGCACCCAGGTCAGGTAGCTGGGAACTTCAGTTCCAGGGAATCTCAAGCCTGTCTGGCCTTCATGGGCACTGCTTGGATACGGTGCATATCCTGCCGCTCCACACCCATAAATGAAACTAATGAGACGAAATATTTTTTTAAACTTAAAAAAAAAAAAACCTCCCAGAACTAAGCCAGGCATAGTGGCATATGCCCTACATCCCAGGAAGGAAGAGGCATAGATGTCTGTGAGTTCAAGGCTAGCCTGCTCTACCTAGTGAGTCCCAGTCCAGCCAACATTACAAAATGAGACCCTGTCTAAAACAATGAAACTCTCAGACTAGAGTTGGTTGTGGAATTACACTCCGGTTATCACAACACTCTGGCAGGAGAATTTTAGGAGTTCAAGACCATCTTGGACTATATAAGGAAATCCTATTTTATTCGTTTATTTTTAGTTTTTCGAGACAGGCATAACTAACTCCTTTAATAGAAAGAAAAAGAAAAACTATCTTTGATTGAAAAAGCAAAAACGAGAAAAGTAGCTTTCATAGACAAAAGAGAAAAGAAACTTTCTCACAGGTGCCAGGCTAATTTCGTGAAGCTTGTGAACAAGGCTCCCTAGAGCGGAGGACAGTAGGGAAGGGCGCGGAGCCCTAGCTGCCAAGTGAACTGTCTCTTCCCAGGGAATTTGCCCGAGAGAAAAAGTTCCGGACCGAGGCAGAGACCTTCGGGTGGAGTTTCGTCTTTGAGGATTTTGTGCCCCCTGAGCTTAGAAATCAAGCAAATCAGATGCCGGTGAGAGAGAACCTGGTCACGGGACGGGGGCGGAAGGGGGTGTGCAGAGTCTTCTGAGGGAAGCGGGAGGGGTCAGCTGGGTGCCGTGGTGGAGGCCGAGTGGAAGCCAGAGAGAATGAATACACACTTAACCTGAGCAGCCAGGGTGGTAACTGCCAGGCCTTATGGTGAATGCCTGGAAGCGCAGTTACTTGGGATGCTGAGGCAGGGTAATAAGGTCAAAGGCAGCCTGAGTGTTCAGGGAGACCTTGTCTCAAAATGGAATCTTTAAAAAGGGGTTAGATGTAGCTCAGGGGCAGAGGGCTCGCCTACTAGCTTGTGCAAATAGGTGGGTCCAGTACTTGGGGGGGGGGGGGGGAGACTGACTCTCCTTACCTTGGCTTTGCTTGGGGGTGTTTTGTTTTGTTTGTTTGCTTTTTAAGACAAGGTCTCACTATGTAGATGGCCTGGAGCTCAAGCTGTAGACCAGGTTGATCTTGAACTCGCAGAGATTCTCCTGCCTCTGCCCCTAAGTGCTGGATGACAGGTGTGCACTACCATACTGGGTTTACGCAGTACTGGTGATCGAACCCAGGGCTTTGGGCATGCTGGGCAAGCGCTCTGCCCACTGAGCTGTGTACCCAACCCCAGAGTATCATTTGAAAAAGATTCCATCCATAGCCAGGTGTTGTGGAGTACGCATTCAATCCCAGACTCAGGATCTCTGAGTTTGTGGCCACCCTGGTCTACATAGTGAGTGCCAGTTCTGGTCCATCCAGGGCTACATTAGTGAGGCCTGTCTCAAAACAAGAGAACAACAACAAAAAGAGTCCATCCACAGCCCACAGTCTGTGTTCTACTTTGGCGAGTTGAGAAGGGTCCTTAGCTGGGTCAGATCGTCTAGCCCTCATTCTGTTTCTGTCTCTGCAGTCTGTTCTCTGGTGGCTGCCAGTGCAGAGGGCGTTTTGGAGGCAGGTGAGTATTGGTTTCTTTGCCTCATTTTCTGCGACTACTGAGTTTCATTCTTGGAAATTTGGTTTCCCTGAACCCCTAGTCCCTAAAAACACCAAGGATACCGGGGTGCTTTCATCTGTTTGGTTTTTGAGACAGGGTCTCACTGTGTAGCCCTGACTGGCCTGGAACCCGCTATGTAGGTCAGGCTGGCCTCAGACTCAGAGCTCTGCCTGCCTCTTCCTCTGAGTGCGGGGAGTAAGGTGTGCACCACCGTGCCTGGTCAGCCAGGAGTGCTGTTTTAAAGAGTGACTAGGACATTTCAGGAGTAGCCCTGTTCCTTCTGCACTAATTCTTTTCCATGTTTTCTGCTGCTCTCTTTGCTAACGAATCTGTTTTTTTGGCCCCCTTCTTCATCCTCTCATGACATCTCACTCTGTAGCCAGGTTCCCCCTCCCTCACCCTTCTGGGTGCCGGAATGGCAGGTGTGTGCAGCCACGGTCCTGTTTCTCACTCACTGAGTCATCATTCCTGACTTCCTCCCGCTACCTCGTGCAAAAGCTGAACCAAGGCACCGCAAGCGAAACCTTTGTCAGCCTTTCCCCTAGATCCCGGAAGTCCGTCTCACTTCGCCTTGACTGTCAGCCTGCAGGTCCCGGCTCTGGCATCCGAGAAAAACTGGAGCTTCCGGTGGTACATGTGAGCTGGAATGATGCTGTCGCTTACTGTGCATGGCGGGGAAAGCGGTTGCCCACAGAGGAGGAGTGGGAGTTTGCGGCCCGAGGGGGCTTGAAGGGTACGTGGATGCCAAGGCCATTCTCTCATCTTCCTGCCCTGCCCTGCACTGGGGCTAGAAAGGATGGAGAGGGTCCCAAGTTCCCCCAGTAATGATTTCTTTTCTTTTTTTTTTTTAATATTTATTTATTTATTATGTATACAATATCCTGTCTGTGTGTATGCCTGCAGGCCAGAAGAGGGCACCAGACCTCATTACAGATGGTTGTGAGCCACCATGTGGTTGCTGGGAATTGAACTCAGGACCTTTGGAAGAGCAGGCAATGCTCTTAACCACTGAGCCATCTCTCCAGCACCCACAGTAATGATTTCTAACACCGGTGAGGGCAATAGCTGTTCTGTGGTTTCATCTCTGATCCAATTTAGACCAGTCACCTGCAACGCGACATAAAGGGACTTACAGATGGGCATACCAGGAACTGAACTCAAGTTCTCTGGAAAAGCAGCAAGAATGCTTATCTGACTGGGCAGTGGTGGTGCACACCTTTAATCCCAGCACTCGGGAGGCAGAGGCAGGTGGATCTCTGTGAGTTCGAGGCCAGCCTGATCTACAGAGTGAGTTCCAGGACAGGATCCAAAGCTACAGAGAAACCCTGTCTTGAAAAAACAAAACAAACAAACAAACAAAAAAAGAATGTTCATCTACTCAGCCATCTTGAAGCCCTAAAATATTTTCTTAGAAAGCCGAGCATAGGAGCTCTCTCTCTCTCTCTTTCTCTCTCTCTCTCTATATATATAGGCCAATAGTTTTCAAATATAACAGGTGAGGTTGCTTCCTACCTGTTTGTGATTGCATTTTAAGCCCAGCTAAGAAGTTTCTCATGCCATCCCTTGTTGTCTGTGTCCCTCCGCCACACTAAGAACTGCAGGGCTGTGGTGTCCAGCAGTGTAATGGGATTCTATCTGTTGCTCCCCGGGTCGGGGAAGGACTCTGAATGAAAGGAAGGAAGTGAAGTCAGTCTCCCTTTCTCTCCACCTCCTCCTTTCCTTCTGGCTTCCTCATTCTTTTTGTCTTTCCACCCAGTTCTTTCTTTTTTGTATCTTTGCTGTCTTGCAGGCCAGGTTTATCCATGGGGGAACAAGTTCCAGCCAAACCGCACCAATTTGTGGCAGGTAAGCCCTGCCTTCCTCTTTCTCCAAGCCTTGCTGGAGCCCTGCAGAGGCACCGTTTCAGTCCCTGGTGGGACTTAGTGCTGTATGGAGCACTGCTAAAGCCATGGGCACAGACGACAGGGCCTAGCAGCACCTGGTGAGACAAGTTTGTCCTCCCAGGAGGAATCACAAGTTCAAGGCCTTACCAAGCAGCTAACACAAAATTTAAAAATGGATCACTGGGCAAGGGTGGCGCATGCCTTTAATCCCAGCACTCAGGAGGCAGGGGCCGGCAGATCTCTGAGTTCCAGGCCAGCTTGGTCTACAGAGTCTGTTCTGGGACAGGCAGGGCTACATGGGGAAACCCTGTCTTAAAAAAAATTTTTTTTAATGAATGTACAGAAGCAAGACCCTGTCTCAATAAAATAAAATAAAACAAGATAAAAAAGTAAAGATAGGGCTGGAGAGATGGCTCAGTGGTTAAGAGCATTGCCTGCTCTTCCAAAGGTCCTGAGTTCAATTCCCGGCAACCACATGGTGGCTCACAACCATCTGTAAAGAGGTCTGGTGCCCTCTTCTGGCCTGCAGACATACACACAGACAGAATATTGTATACTTAATAAATAAATAAATAAATATTAAAAAAAAAAAAAAAAAAAAAAAAGTAAAGATATATGTGGGCATGCCATGGCACACCTGTAGAAGTCAGAGGACAACTTATGTGAATTGATTCTCTCCTTCCATGCCTGTCGGGGGATTGAACTCAGGCCCTCAGCCTTGGCAGCAAATGCCTGCATCTCACCAACACCCTTACAACACTGTTAAACACTCACTTACTAAAAGAGATCATGCAACAGACTGTCATATATTGTCGAGCTAATGAGAGCCTTGTGAAGGAGGAGCCTCTCTAGTCTAGTTTGTTGGGCATATGTGTGGTCTGTGCATGTGTGTGCAGGTGTATCATGTGTGGTGTCCTCCTCAGCTGCTTGTCCACACTGCATTTTTAGCACTTAAAAATTTTTAAATTAGCTGGGTGGTGGTGGCGCACGCCTTTAATCCCAGCACTCGGGAGGCAGATGCAGGCGGATCTTTGAGTTAAAGGGCAGCCTAGTCTACAAAGTAAGTTCCAGGACCAGTGCTGGGAACAGAACTCAGGTTTTCTTGGGCCCTCTACAAGAACAGTGGCATGGTGCATGCAATTTTTTTTTAAAGACTTATCTATTTTTTTTTAAAGACTTTTGTGTATTTGTGTTTTATCTACATTTATGTCTGTGTCAGATCCCCTGGAACTTGAGTTACAGACAGTTGTGAGCTGCCATGTGGCTGCTGGGAATTGAACCCGGGTCCTCTGGAATGGCTGTCAGTGCTGCTGAGCCATATGGAACTCAGCATTTCAGCTAGACTGCCTAGCCAAGCAGTCCCCCAGAACCGGAGTGGCAGATGCATGCCCTATGCCCAGCTTTTTATATGGGTTCTCAGGATATGAACCTGTTCCTCATGCTTACATGGCAAATGCCAGCTCCAGTTTTGATAGGAATAACAATGAAGTTGAACAATCACGTCAATAAACACAGGTGGTGTATTTCTATTTAACAAAAGCAGGAGCTATGTGACAGTATGGGCTCCAGGGCTTCTGTCCCAGGCTGGGGATGCAGGGCATAGACGGTTAGTTAGAAACAGCACGGCTCTTTCCAAAGCTCCATGTAAGGAAACCTGAGGTCACCGTCCTTCCCCCACACTGCAGAGTAAAATGACTGTTGTTTTCCTCTGGGTGGACAGGGCACCTGCCTCTGGACAGGCTAATAAATCTTACACTTTCATTCTTCTTGTCAGGGAAAGTTCCCCAAGGGTGACAGAGCTGAAGACGGTTTTCATGGACTGTCACCAGTGAGCGCTTTCCCCCCTCAGAACAACTATGGTGAGACCTCCTATTGTACAGTGTCTGACAAGGTGGCCGAGAAAAATCTTCCCCGGCCTCCCCCGGGCATCTGGTGGGTGGAGAGAATCCCCTACTCCCCATCTAATGACCCACTGCTACGTTGAAGGACTATACGACCTCATGGGCAATGTGTGGGAATGGACGGCGTCCACATACCAATCTGCTGGCCAGGATATGCGTGTCCTCCGGGGGGCGTCATGGATCGATACCGCTGATGGCTCAGCCAATCACCGGGCTCGGGTCACCACCAGGTAAAGATCTTAGGTCAGGGCACCACAAGTCTCTGTAGCCATGGCTGAGGGTATGGATGCTGGGCTCCTGGGTCCAAGTGGCCGGGAGCTGGCACGGATGCAGCTTCTGCACCCCATCCCATCTCTTCAATTCTTTCCTCACCCACCTCTTTCAGTATTGCAGGTCACACCCCTCACCCCTTCTTGCACCTCCTGCCTCCACTGAAAGTTCTAAGAGAAACAAGCCAGTACTGCTGACCATGGAAAGTAAACATGGGTCCCCAAGACAGCCTGGGGACCCCTTCCTGAGACTCAGCAGCAGTAAGGGAACCTTCCGGCAACCTCACACTGTGGGGTCTCCTCACATGGAGCAGGGCAGAGGGAAGGAGACGGAATTGCACATGAGTAGATCATGGCCAGGAGGCATGAGTTAACACACTCATTGAGCTGCTGCAGGCACAAAAAGTCACTGCTTAGAGTCATTTGTCAGGGAGGTGTTGGGACTGCTCATCTCATGTGGTGCGGTCATTGGTGGCTCCCCCAGCACTGAATTCCAGCCTTCAGGGCTTTTGCTTTACACACTGTAGGTTTGGTTTGTTCAGCCTTGGACAAGACTCCTCAGGCTTTGTAGTTTCAGGGTTTAGAAGATGGTGAGGCCCTGCCTGCCAGAGCCAACTGCGTGTATCAGTCAGGAATTCTAGAGAAACATGAAATGAATCGCTATCTATCTATCGCTATATAAAGGGAATTTTTTAGAATGACTTACACACTGTGGTCCGGCTAATCCAATAATGGCCACCTGCACAGAAGGTTTAAGAATCCGGTAATTAATTGTCCAGTCCATGAGACTGAATGTTGCAACTGGTCTTCAGTACACACTGGAATCCCAAAGAAGTCAGCTCTCATGCCAGTGAGGGAATGGACTTGCTAGCAAAAGTAAGCAAGCAGGCAGGGAACAAAAGCTTCCTTCTTCCATGACCTTATATAGGCTTCCAGCAGAAGGCATGGCTCGGAATAGAGGTGGGTCTTCCCACCTTAAAGATTCAGATGAGAAGTGGATCTTTCCACTTCAAATTAAGCAAAAATCCCTCACAGCTGTGCCCCTCCATTTCTGAGTTTTAGTTAATTCCAGACGGAGTCAAATTGACAACCAAGAATAGCCACCTGCTGTGAAACTCATTTCTCACCTACAAGTGCATTGAGCTTAGAGTAGGAGCTACTTACCCATCAGTGGTCATTAAGATCATCTTCCAGCCGGGCGGAGGTGGCGCACACCTTTAATCCCAGCACTCGGGAGGCTGAGGCAGGCAGATCTCTGTGAGTTCAAGACCAGCCTGGTCTACAAGAGCTAGTTCCAGGACAGGCTCCAAAGCCACAGAGAAACCCTGTCTCGAAAAACAAAAAAAGATCATCTTCTATTGCAATCCTTTGTGGCCGCTCAGCTCCCTTACCCGTCATAGCACACTGGCTGGACTTGTCTTCAGAACAACTGCGTTAGTTGCTATTTGGCTGCTGTGCAGAGACACCATGACCAAGACAACTCTTGTGAATAGAAGCATTTAATTGAAGGCTTGGTTACAGTTTTAGAGTCTTAGTCCATGATCATTGTGGCCAGAAGCAGACAGGCATAGCACTGGAGCAGTAGCTGAGAGCTTGACATCCTAATCTGCAGGCAGAGAAAGGAGAGACCCTGGGCCTGTTGTGGACTTGTGAAACCTCAAAGCCACCTGCTAGTGACACACTTCCAAGGAGGCTACACCTACTCCAATCCTCCTTAGATAGTTCCACTCCCTGGGGACAGGGCATTCAAATAGATGAGCCTATGGGGGCCACCACACCGCCTCTCTTTCCAGCAGACCCCATCCCCAACAGTATGCACACTCTCCCTGTTCTGCCACAGGATGGGCAACACTCCAGATTCCGCCTCAGACAACCTGGGCTTCCGCTGCGCCTCCAGCACAGGCCAACGGAAGGAGGATTTGTAAGCACCCAGGCAGGGATGGAGAAGGCTGCCCTCAGTACTGTGTCTCCCTGCCCACGTTCCAGAGGCATCGGATACCACGTTCCTTGTCAGCCTGCAGGTGGCCTCCCTCCGAGCCCCTTCTCTCTGGCAGATGTCTCCTAAGGGCAAAAGAACACTCAACCCCAAGAGGGGACTACTATAGCCTGCAAGAGGAGGGCCTGGATGATCATGGCTGGGAGCTGTGTGTTTCTCTGAAGTGCAGGATTATGGACAAAGGACCCCAGTGCTCTGGTATCTGGAGCAGTTCTCCAAAAGACAACAGTCTGAAAATGGCTCCCTCTCAGGCAGGCCGTGGTGGCACACACCTTTAATCCAGGCCCTGGGAAAGCAGAGGCAGGCAGGTCTCTGTGAGTTCATGACCAGTCTGGTATACAGAGTGAGTTCCAGGACAGCAGCAAAAAAAAAAAAAAAAAAAAAAAAAAAACTCTTCCTTTTCTTTCTTCCTCTCTGATTCAGTTTTTAGTTCTCCTGGAAAAGTTTGTAGAAGGAAAATGCTTTCTTTATGTGATGGTGCCCAAAGCCTCCCTGTCTGTTGTTTGCAACAGGGTACTCTCAGTCCTCTGACCTCAGCTTCCTGAGTGCTGCAGTTATACACAGGGTCCAGTATTAAAACACTCTAGTAGAGCAAATAATTTACCAGGTGAAGCTGTGCATTGTGGGAGTAACAAGTTTCGAGCTCTCCTAGGAGGGCAAATGCCATAAACTTCTCCTCTGGGTGTTAGTCATGTAGGGGCTTCCATGTACCTCTGCAAACATGCAAACAGTCTCTGGAGAAGCACTGGTTCCCATGGTGTCGATGGATATCATGAAGTCAATAAACTCTGCATTTGTGTATCGGAAAGGTTTGATTCTTTGTTTGTTTGGGTTTTTTTTGTTTTTGTTTTTTGGGTTTTTTGTTTTGTTTTGTTTTTTTTTTTGGTTTTTCGAGATAGGGTTTCTCTGAAGCTTTGGAGCCTGTCCTGGAACTCACTCTGTAGACCAGGCTGGCCTTGAACTCAAAGAGATTTGCCTGACTCTGGCCTCCCGAGTTCTTGGATCAAAGGTGTGCGCCACCACTGCCCAGTGAAGTCCACTTTTTAAAATTGTTTGAGATAGATAGGGTCTCATGTAGTGCAGGCTGGCCTCAAACTCCTTGTGTAGCCAAGAATGGCCTTGAGCTCCTCCTGATCATCCTGCCTCCACTTCCTCAATTATCAGTAACCTTGGGCCCCTAAAGAAACTGAGACAGGAGCTGGAGAGATGGCTTAGCATTTAAGAGAAGTTGTGCTTGCAGAAGAGAGGTTCAGTTCCTACCACTCACATGGTGGTTCCCAACTATCCCAAACTTCAGTTTCAGGGCATCTGATACCCTCTTCTGACCTCCACAGGTACTGCAGATAGGGGGTGCACATAATAAACAGCTGGATGAAGCACACACAAAATACAGAAGTCTAAAAAAGGAGAAAGAACCCAAGACCATGGTGAAGGTGCACAGTAGAGAAGCCAGGAGGCCTCTAGCTCCCAAAGCACATGTGCTCTCTGCCCTCCCACTCCTGCCTGGCATGGCCTCTGCTGCATTGGATCGATCTATTATCAATCTATCATCTATCTATCACCTATCTATTAATCTATCTGTCTGTCTTCTATCTATCTATCCATCCATCCATCTATCTACTTTTGTCATACCAGGGGTTGAACTTGGGGCCTTACATTCACCACAGAGTTACATTCCCAGCCCTGTTTTTATTTTGAAGCAACCATCACTAGGCTGTCCTGGAACCTGGGATCCTATTGCCTCAGGACAACAGGCACAGGCCACCACACCCAGCCCTAGCTATAATTACTGCTCTTTAATGGGAACACCCTGTGCTTTTAGTGGGGTGCACAGAGTAGGGCCACCTGCAATGACTCAGAGAACTCTTTGGGGACTCCACAGTTCTGAGATGTCCTACTACCCCTCAGAAGTCCTCCTCCTCGGCCAAGGAGAGGAGCACTGCCTTGGGTGTGTTCTCGAAGAGGGCGGCTCTATTCTGCTGCTGCCCTTTCTTCACCCAGTGACCGTAGATTCGGAAAGCGTAGGCGTCGATGAGCTTACGGAGAGGCTTCAGGGCGTAGGGGTCGCGGATGACAATCTCCCTGGTTATGGGCTTCAACCGACGGTACTGGTAGTAGATCTTTACCGAGGCCAGCACAGTTAGGCAGATCACCTGCAGGGGGCAGCACCGAGAACCCTCAGCCCGCAGCTTAGCTTGTCAGAAAGCTCATGATGGATTTCGGGATGCTATTCATGATGCCCCCTGTTACTAGACCCCAAGTATCTACAGGGATTTAGGCTAACAGGGTCACTTAGCTGACATTCCCGGCAACCAGAAACTGAATTGGTACAGTGGGTACAAGAAGAGGACCAATTTGCCCAGTGGTGGTGGTACACACCTTTAATTCCAGCACTTAAGAGGTAGAGGCAAGCGGATCTCTGAGTCCGAAGCCAGCCTGGTCTACAGAGTGAGTTCCAGGACAGAGTACCCCAGGAGCCAACAGCAAAATCCCCCAAGACCACTGAGCCAAGTTAAGTCTCTACCTTGAACTTCCCTCGGGGACTGAAGTGCCGCACTTCCTCCACCACGTACTGCTGGAAGAACGGGTGCGCCAAAGCCTCTTCTGCTGAGCAGCGGTCCTGGGGTTTCACCACCAAGAAGCGAGACACCTGTGAGTACAGAAGGGCACTGAGGCTCCCAGCAGCGTTTCGGAAGACACAGGATGTGATGGTCAGTTCTTACTGTCAACTTGATAGAATTTAGAGCCACCATGAAAACAAATTTCTGGGCGTCTGTGAGGGATTATTTAGATAGGTGGAGGTGGGAAGCTGCACCCTCAGTGTGGGTGGCAACATTCCCTAGGCTGGGATCTTGGCCTGAATGAAAAGGAGAAAGTGAGCTGAGCACCAGCATCTGTCTCTCTCTGCTTCCTGACTGTGGATGTGTGACCAGTGTCCTCACACACCTGGAGCCATAAAGCATGAGCCAGAATTAACCCTTCCTTCCTTAAGTTGCAAAAAAAAAAAAAAAAAAAAAAGATTTATTTATTTAGTACGCTGCGTGCACGTATGCCTATATGCCAGAAGAGGGCACCAGATCTCATTATAGATGACTGTGAGCCACCATGTGGTTCCTGGGAATTGACCTCAAGACCTCTGGAAGAGCAGCCAGTGCTCTTAACCTCTGAGCCACCTCTCCAGCTCCTTAAGTAGATTTTGCTAGGTATTTTTTTTTTTTTTAGCAGCAATGAGACAAATACAGAGGGGTCCCTCCTTGAGATTCCTCCACTCTGGGGTATGCTCCCTGTATTGGGGTGTTTTTCTCTTCCTTGAGATCTGGGGAGATGGTGGGCGTGGCCTCTCACCAAGTCTTTCACTGTATCTGAGTAGTCATCCCATTCGGGTGAGCCAAACTGGTATTTGCCATCCACGATCATCCTCAACATCAGCATCTGCTTCCGGTGCCAGAAGGGTGGGGAGCCAGCCAGGAGCGTGTACATGATGACGCCAGTGCTCCACCTGGAGGTTGGTAGGGAGTCAGGTCACTCTAAGCCGGATGGGTAAGGGAGGCATGCAGGAGTGGAGGGCCGTGGTTCCTAGTTTCACTGGGGTCCGGCTAGAGTTGTGAACCCCCCCCCCATCTACTCAGGTCACTCACATGTCCACCTCCTTCCCATAGCCAGGATGGCTGTCGTCCATGGAGCACTGGATGATTTCAGGGGCCAGATAAATGGGGGTCCCGCAGACCTCTGCAGGAACAGTCATTTATCAGGACAGGTCGACGGGGGCCCTTGGGAGAGGTTACCCAAGGCAGCCAAGGGATGGGCGAGAAGAGGGCTTGGCAGGGCTCGCTATTTCACACACACGTAGCATCATGGTACACAGACTCGCAAGGCCACCCCGTGGATTCCTCGGTCCTTCTGGGCACCCTGGCATGAAGCTCAAGCTGGGGGAAACCTAGGTCCGTGGAGTCCTAGGAAGAGGACTTGACTCAAGAGCCATCTAGCCTCTGAAGTAGGATATTTTTTAGGTTTATTTTTATTATACGTTGTGTGCGTGTATCTGTATGAGGGTAGGTGCACATAGTAAAAATCCTCAGCTGTCAGAAGAGTCTGATCCCCTAGAACTGGAGTTATAGGTGACTCTGAAAGTCTCCCTATGTGGGTGCTGGGAACTGAAACTTGGGTCTTCTACATAAGAAATGCATGTTCTTAATCCCAGCACTCAGTAGGCAGAGGCAGGCAGATCTCTGTGAGTTCAAGACCAGCCTGGTCTACAGAGCAAGAACCAGGACAGGCTCCAAAGCCACAGAGAAACCCTGCCTCAAACCCCCCCCCCAAAAAAAAAAACAAAAAAAAAAGCATGTTCTTTTTCTTTTTTTGAAATTCACGTATTTGGATGTCTTGCCTGTATCCTATCTGTGTATCATATGGGCCTGAGGCCCAAGGAAGCGAGAAGAAGGTGTGGGATCCCCTGGAATTGAAGTTACAGACGTTCTGATCAGCAATGTGGATGCTGGGACTCGAACCTAGGTCCTCTGAAAGAGCAGCCCATGCTCTTGACTGCTGAGTCATTTCTGGGATGTGTGTGTGTGTGGTGAAAGCTGGAAGTTAATGTCGGGTGTCTTCCTTGATTGCTCTCTATCTTGTTTTTGAGGCAGGGTCTCTCCCTGGCCTGGAGCTGGCTGATTCGGGTAAACTAACTGGCTAGCGATCCCCAGGTGTTGCTCTCAGCCGCCTGTCCAGTGCTGGAGTTACATGGGCTCTGGGGATTCAAACTCAGGTCCTCATGCTTATGTGTCCCATTTTACCCACTGAACCATCTCCTCAGCCACTGAGGGGGCAGAGTTTTTATTCCGGGAAGACATTCAAGCCATTTCCATCCCTGATGCCCCTCTATGGGCCAAGGCCATGGTACCAGACCTCGGAGCCTCTCTCCTGGCTGCAGCTGGCAGGAAAACCCGAAGTCTGTGAGCTTGATGTTCATGTCATCATCTAGAAGGATGTTCTCCGGCTTCAGGTCCCGGTGGACAATGTTGAGTTTGTGCAGGGTGCAAATCACCTCCAGCAGGGCTCGCATGATCTTTCTGAGGAGGCAGATACATGGCGATGGTTTATTTTTACATTCTTTAATTTCTTATTGATTTTTTAAAAATATTTATTTATTATGTATACAATATTCTGTCTGTGTGTATGCCTGCAGGCCAGAAGAGGACACCAGACCCCATTACAGATGGTTGTGAGCCACCATGTGGTTGCTGGGAATTGAACTCAGGACCTTTGGAAGAGGAGGCAATGCTCTTAACCTCTGAGTCATCTCTCCAGCCCTTGATTTTTTTTTTTGAGACAGTGTTTCTCTGTGTAACCCTGGCTTTCCTGAAACTCACTCTGTAGACCAGGCTGGCCTTGAATTCAGAGATCTGCCTGCCTCTGCATCTTGAGTGCTGGGATTAAAGTCTAGCACCACCATGCCTGAATGTTTTTTTGTTTTGTTTTGTATTTGAGACAGAGTTCTCTGTGCAGCTTTGCCTGTCCTTGAATTAGCTCTTGTAGACCTTGTAGACCAGGCTGGCCTCAAACTCACAGAGATCTGTCTGCCTCCCAAGTGCTGGGATTAAAGGCGTGCGCCACCACCACCCAGCTCTGGCTGCCCTCTAACCTACAGGTAGCTGGGGATGATCTTGAATGCTTGAACTTCCTGCTTCCATCTACCAGGTGCTAGGATTAGAGGTTATGTGTCACCATGGCCAGTTTATGCTTCCTGCACGCTAGGTAAACACTCTGGTAGCTGAACTATGGCCTAACTTTGTTTTACTTTTTGAAACAAGGCGTCACCTGCACCTCATGTAGGCCTTGAACTCGTGATCCTCCTGCCTGAGCCTCCATATTATTGAGATTACAGATATTCATCACCAGTTTTAATTTTTTGTTTTGTATTTTACCCCAAGTACCAGGGATGGGAATCAGGGCTTTAAACATGCTAGGTAAACACTATTCTAATGAGACACACATTCAGCCCATTGGTTTTTGTTCTTTCTGTTTTTGTTTCCAGACAGGGTTTCTGTGTCGTTGGCTTCCTGGTACTTGCTCTGTAGACCAGGCTGGCCTAAAACTAAGAGATCTGCCTGCCTCTGCCTCACAAGTGCTGGAATTAAAGGCGTGCACCACCATCAGCTGGCTTTTTTTTTTCAAGACAGGGTTTCTTTGTGTAACAGCCCTAATTGTCCTGGAACTAACTCTTGTATACCAGGCTAGCCTTGAACTCACAGAGATCCACCTGCCTCTGTCTCCTAAGAGCTGGGATTAAAGGTGGGCACCACCATTGGCCAGCGGTCTATTTTTTTTAATGTGTGTGTGTATGTATTATTTAATGTGTGTGTGTATGACTGAGTGTACATATATGCACCACATTCATAGAGTGCCCAGGGTAGTCAGAAGACATCAGATACTTTAGAACTAGAATCACAGACATCTGAGCCACTGGTATGGGCTACTGGGAACCAAACCTAGATCCTCTGAGAGAATAGCAAGTGTGCCAAGAGTGCTGGTGCAAGTGTTTAATGTCAACACTCTGCAGGCAGAGAGGAGGCAGATCTCTGTGAGTTCAAGACCACCCTGGTCTTCATTCATATCAAGTTCCAGGTCAGACAGGGCTATATAGTGAGTCCCTGTCTCAAGAAACAAAAGCAAGAATAGCAAGTGCTCTTCACTGCTAAGCTATCTCTCCAGACACATTGGCTTAATTTTCGATTCTAGAATTGGACAAACCTTTTCCACACAACAGAAGTGCGTGTTCCCCTACACATTACTCTCCACTCATCAGGGATAAGAGGCGGGGAGGCCAAAGCCCACAGACCAACCTCACTGCGTGCAATGGGGGATCCAGGATGGGCTGGGACAGTCTAGGTTCTAGTCTGTAGATGAGCCAAAGAGCTGGGCGATCACAGAAGCCAGCATGACCTCAGCTAAACATGCGCACCAGGCCTCCTGCCAGACCACTGACGGAGAACGGGTAGAGATGGCACACATCCTTACCTGGTTTCCTTCTCAGTCAAGGTGACCTTCTCAGTGAGGTAGTCAAAGAGTTCCCCTCTCTTCATCCTGTGGGAACAAAGTGTTCCTTACCTGCCCCCAGAACTGTGTTCCCACCTTGATGCCATCAAAGACAAGGTGGGCTGTTCCTCTGAGGGCAGGAGCCCCAGGGAAGGAGTGGAGGGCTCTCTGGGAAGAACTGAAAGAAAAGCAAAAGCCTGAGAAAATGTGATGTCCCTACTTATGGAAATGCATGGCACCCTGGGAATTCGTCAGTACCGGGAGTGGGAGACAGGCATCAGAGTCTCTGGCTCAGGACCCCAGATCAAGAGGACTTGGGAACGTTTTTTTGCCAGGAAGCAAATGGAAAGAAATCAACAGTGTAAGTGTCGGAGAAGCCAAGTTTGCCCATTATATGCAAAGAGCCAGCTGTGGCAGCATAAACATGTAACCCTTGTACTTGGTAAATGGCAGAAGGAGAATCAATTAGGAGTTCAAGACCAGCCTCAGCTACATAGTGACTTGGAGGCCAGCTTGGGCTACATGGAACTCTGTCTCAAAAAATAGAGGGGCAGGGGCTGGAGAGATGACTCAGAAGTTAAGAACACTTACTGTTCTTCCGGAGGAGCTGGGTTTGGTTCCCAGCACCCATGTCAAGCCACTCACAATTGTCTATAACTCTAGCTCCAGGGGATTCAGAATAGCCTCTGGCCTCCACAGGCACGTGCACTCGCTTGCACATACCCACATGCAGACACACACACACACAGACACACACACATACCCTCACCTAATTTTTTTAAAGGTTTATTTATTAATTATGTATACAGCATCTGCCTACATGTATACCTGAAGGCCAGAAGAGGGCCCCAGATCTTATTACAGATGGTTGTGAGCCACCGTGTGGTTGCTGGGAATTGAACTCGGGACCGCTGGAAGACTGATCAGTGCTCTTAACCCCTGAGCCATCTCTCAGCCCCACACCCTCATCTAATTAAAGATTATATAAATAAATGGTTTAAGCTAGGCAGTGGTGGCACATGCCTTAATCCCAGCACTTGGGAGGCAGAGACAGGTGAATCTCAGTGAGTTCGAGGCCAGCCTGGTCTACAAAGTGAGTTCCAAGCCGGGCGGTGGTGGCGCACGCCTTTAATCCCAGCACTCGGGAGGCAGAGGCAGGTGGATCTCTGTGAGTTCGAGACCAGCCTGGTCTACAAGAGCTAGTTCCAGGACAGGCTCCAAAACCACAGAGAAACCCTGTCTTGAAAAACCAAAAAAAAAAAAAACAGTGAGTTCCAGGACAGTTAAGACTGTTACACAGAGAAACCCTGTCTTGAAAAACCAAATTAAATAAATAAATAAATAAATAAATAATGGTTTAAATAATGGAGGAACAGGCCAGTCCTGGTGGCGAAGGCCTTTAACCCCAGCCCTTGAAAATGCCCTATTGGCTTACCTACAGCTGGACCTTATGGAGGTATTTTCTCAATTGAGGCTCTGTCCTCTCCAGGGACTGTAGTTTGTGTCAAGTTGACATAAAACTACCTAGCACAGGGTACCCTCTCTGTACATCACAGCTAATGTAAGGAAAGGATTTGCTTGAGACAACTGACAGCCTTGTAGTGTTGAAACATTTCCTATTGTAGCTGCTGAATTCTTCAATACTTTGTTTCCTCTCGTCTCTCATTATATAAGAAAAATTTGAGACAGGGACCCACACTGTTGCCTAAGCTAACCTTAAAGCCATACCAGTAATCCTCCTGCTTCATCCTCCTGCGTGCTTGGATTACAGGACTGTGCCGCTGAGCCCAGTTTTATCTTCTATTTAACCACAGGATGGGCTGCTAGGCCCCTCTCCTGCCCTGCTGTAACCATCCCTGCTGTATTCACAGGGCCCTGTCCTGAGTAACCTCTGGGGGCAGCTCAAATATCTTTAACCTTTAGAGAGGTGGCTTGGAGAAGCTATTTTTACTGGTGTCCCAAGGAGCCCTACAGGGTAAAACCAGATTGCTCTAGCAGTGACCACATTCTAGGTCAGAAAGCTAAAGACTGAACTGAATTTTTTTTTTGGTTTTTGTTTCCTGAGATGAGGTGTGGCTATGTCGCACAAGCTGGAGTCAAACTTTTGATCCTCTGGTCTCAGCCTCCTAAGAGCTGGTATTGCAGATATGTGCCACCAAGCCCGGTTTTGAAAAGCAAGCTGTTCCTCTCCTCCCCTCTCCTTTTCCATCCTCTTATCCTTCCCCTCCCACCCACTCCCTTCTTTCCTTTGTTTGTTTTTGAGACAGGGTCTCAGTATATACTCTGAATGGCCGACTCACTATGTAAATCAGACAGGCCCCAAACTCACCGAGATTCACCGTCTTCTGCCTTCCAAGTGCTGGGATTAAAGGCATGTACCACCATGCCCAGAGGAAAATTTTATTTCCTCCCTCCCTCCCTTCCTTCATCATCATAATTATTATTTTTTTAAATATTTATTTATTTATTATGTATACAATATTCTGTCTGTGTGTATGCCTGCAGGCCAGAAGAGGACACCAGACCACATTACAGATGGTTGTGAGCCACCATGTGGTTGCTGGGAATTGAACTCAGGACCTTTGGAAGAGCAGGCAATGCTCTTAACCGCTGAGCCATCTCTCCAGCCCCTCTATTTGGTGTTTTTCAAGACAGATTTTTTTTTCTCTGTGTCTTGGAACTCACTCTGTAGTCCAGCTGGCCTCAAACTCAGAGATTTTCCTGTCTCTGCCTCCCAAAGGCGTATATCACCACCACCTGGCAATTATTAAGTCTCCAGTGCACAGTTCCCATGCACTTTGTGTGGTTATCATTGTTCCCTTTTGTTTTTTGAGACAGGGTCTTGTCCAGGGTGGTCGATACTCAGCATGTATCCCTGGAATGGCCATGAACTTGAAGTAATTCCTGTCTCAGTTTCTGAGAGCTGAGATTACAAGCATGTGCCACTAGCCTAGCAGTGGTGGTGCACACTTTTAATCCCAGCACTTGGGAGGCAGAGGCAGGCGGATCTCTGTGAGTTCAAGGCCAGCCTGGTCTATGGAAATAGTTCCAGGACAGCCAGGGCTATACAGAGAAACCCTGTCTCATCCTGTCTCAGAAAACCAAATAAAAGAAAAACCCAAGCGCGTGCCAGCATGTCAGGTTTTGTGTTGCTTATATTTGATGCTTAGTGTTAAAGACCTCCTCTCTCATCCTGTTGGTGCAAACACAGAGTGATGACACTGGTCTTTGAACAACACCCGAAATGTCATCTCAACCACGGGCTTCTCTCTCATATTCCCTTTTCTACCACCCAGCTGCTCTTTCCGCTCTTTCCTCCCTTAACTCATCCCCAGAGACCAACTAGTACCAGGAGTGGAGGTCACACCTGTAATTTCAGCACTCTAGGGGTTGAAGCAGGAGGATCATGAGTTCAAGTTCAGTCTGGGCTAAGTATGGCCTTCATAAAGAGGTGTTGCCTCCAACAGAAAAAAAAAAAGAAGAAGAAAGGCCTGGGCAGTGGTGGTGCACTCCTTTGATCCCTGGGAGGCAGAAGATCTCTGTGGGTTTGAGGCCAGCCTGATCTAGAGAGTTCCAAGACAGCCAGAGCTACACAGAGAAACCCTGTCTCGAAATACCCAAACCAAACAAAAAAACATATAATTAAATTGAAGCCAGGCATGGTGGCAATGCCTTTTACCACAGCACTTGGGAGTCAGGTGCAGGTGTATCTCTGTGAATTCAAGGCCAACGTGGTCTACAGGGCTACAGAGCTACCCAAAAGGACCCTGTCTAAAAGAATTTTTTTTTAATATTTATTTATTTATTTATTATGTATACAATATTCTGTCTGTGCGTATGCCTGCAGGCCAGAAGAGGGCACCAGACCTCATCACAGATGGCTGTGAGCCACCATGTGGTTGCTGGGAATCGAACCCAGGACCTTTGGAAGAGCAGGCAATGCTCTTAACCTCTGAGCCATCTCTCCAGCCCTAAAAGAAATTTTTTAATTAAGAAAATATATAACCCATCCATAAGTGGTACTCTAGGTTTCAAAAACTGTCGATTTTGCCTGGTGTTTCATCATGGGGGTTGGGGGTTGATGCTGGCCCCCTGACAGCCTGGTGGGGACCCATGGAGAGCTCCAGGGTTGGGTACTTACAGATCAAATACCAAGAAGAAGAAAGTGTTGGTCTCGTAAGTGTCCTTCAGCTGTACTGAAATGGAAAAGGCTAGCTGGTCTCAAGGAGCAGAGGAGCCTTGGCATGGACCATGGGGCACAGAGACCAGGCAGGCTGGCTCCAGAGGCAGGAGGAGGGCAATCACTGAGGTGTACCCCTTCCTCACCTGCACCCACTCCCAACCCTGTCTGTCCCCATCCTGTCTGAGTAGGAAGGTGGCACCTGTGACCTCGCGCCCCAACAATGGGCTGGCAGAGTCACTGAACACAAGGTGAAGATGGACGAGTATGGCTGATCACGAGATGGCTCTCATGCCCTGACTTGGGTGGGTGATTAGGGCAGAAGCACCAAAAAGCACAGGGCTATGGCTTGTGCCAGGGGTGGTGGGGCAGGAAGGAGCCACTCACTGATGTTGGGGTGTCCAGAGACCTTCTGCAGGATGTCCACCTCCTTCAGTGTGGCTTCCCGAAGCTCCTGTATCTCCTTGGAGCTGAAGCTGCCTCCGCCTGTGATGTCGATGATTTTGACTGCATATTCCTGGCAGGTAGGTTTGTGGATACAGCGCCTGACCACACTGCTGACTCCCCTGTGAGGAGAGAACAGATGGCCTTGGTGCCCCACACTCCAGGGGAGCCCCTTACTAAAGGCAGTTCTGGGACTAGAGGAAGGTCTGTAATTAAGAGCACTTGCTGCTCTTTCAGAGGCAGTTCCCACATAGCTACAAAAAACCGTCTGTAACTCTAAGGGATCTGACACCCACTTCTGACCTCTAAGGACACCAGACATGCACAGAGTACACAAACATACTGGTGAAACACTCATATTCAGAAAACAAAATGAAAATCAATCAGTCAGTCAAAGGCACAGATGTTCCGCCCTGTGTTGTAACACATACTTCTCACCCTAAGCAGAGGAACAAAAGGGACAGAAATGGGGCCAGGGCTGAGGGTGGCACCAATCTTTCCCATCATAGGTAAAGCACAGGGTCTGGGCCTTACCTGCCCAAGATCTCCTTGGGCTCATAGTTCTCATAGAAGGTCTGTGCAGAATGGGAGTCAGGGAGGGCCTCATCCCGGGTCATGCTCAGGTAGGTCTCAGGGGGACCTCAAGGGCCTCTGAAAGGGGTGCAGAAAGAAGTGGTCAACTCCCCACTCCTCCCACTTTTTCTTTCTTTCCTTTCTCTTTTATTCGTTATTTTATTTATTTATTTGTTTGTTTGTTTGTTTATTTGAGACACGGTTTCTCTGTGTAGCACTGGCTGTCCTGGAATTCACTTTGTAGACCAAATTGGTCTTGAACTCAGATATTCGCCTGCCTAATTCCCAAGTTCTGAGATTAAAAGCATGGACCAGTAAGGCCTCTCTTTTTCTTTCTTTGTTTTTGTTTTTATTTTTCAAGACAGGATTTCTATGTAACTGCCCTAGCTGTTCTGGAACTAGCTCTTGACCACCAGGCTGGCCTCAAATTTACAGAGATCTATCCAGTCTGCCTCCCGAGTACTGGGATTAAGGGAGTGCACCACCACTGCCCGGCTCCTTCTTTCTTTCCTTTCTTTTTTTTCCCTTTATTCCTTTCTCTTTCTCTCTTTTTCTTTTTTTCAACTTATTTATTTAGTATGTATACCATGTTCTATCTGCATGTGTTCCTGCAGGCCAGAAGAGGGCACCAGATCTCCTTACAGGTGGTTGTGAACCACCATGTGGTTGCTGGAAATTGAACTCAGGACCTCTGGGAGAAGAGTCAGGCTCTTAACCGCTGAACCACCTCTCCAGCCCCCTTTTTCTTTTTCTTTTCTTTTTTTTTTAATATTTATTTATTATTATGTATACAATATTCTGTCTGTGTGTATGTCTGCAGGCCAGGAGAGGTCATCAGACGTCATTACAGATGGTTGTGAGCCACCATGTGGTTGCCGAGAATTGAACTCAGGACCTTTGGAAGAGCAGGCAATGCTCTTAACCACTGAGCCATCTCTCCAGCCCCCCTTTTTCTTTTTTAAGATTTTTTTAAAAAAGCATATAGGGCTGGGCTGTGGTGGTCCATGCCCTTAATCCTTTTTTTATTGATACAAAGTCTCATATAGCCCTGGCTGACCTAGAGCTTGCTATGTAGACCAGGCTGGCCACTGGCCTGTTTCTTTGTTTGTTTGGGTTTTACTCTGTAGGCCAGACTGGCCTCAAACTCACAAAGATCCGCCTGCCTCTGGAGTGCTGGGATTAAAGTTGTGCACCACCACTTCCTGGCTCTTGTTTTTATTTTTAGGTGCTGGGGGATAGAACCCAGAGCATTGCACATGCCAGGCAAGTGCTCAAACACTGAGCTACACGCTCAGCCCAGAGTCAGGGTGGTCAGGTTGGATGTGGAGAAGCTAAGCTGACCCATCTTGTCCCAGGAACACAGAGGTTCCTACCAGCAAACTGAACTCCTGCTCCAGACCAAGGGTTTGAGAAAGGCAGAATATCACCCAGCAATAGGAAGAGGCAAGCAGGCAACAGCATATGCTTCCAGTCCACTTGTGGGAGCCCCAGAAAGCCTGGTGTCCCAAGGGGCCCAATTTGCTGACCAAACACGCAGCAGTCCTGGCTGCCTCAAGCTGACTGTTGCTGGAAGCCTGGTGTCCCAGATACTGGGTGCCTGGTTACCAAGAGAAGGTTTAGAATAACAACTGTCTTCTTTGCCAATAACAGGAACCTGGCCTGTTGCACATAACAGCCAGCAGAACCTGAAGATGTTTGTTCCCCTCAACAACCAGCCTGTTTGCTGAAAGGTCATTCTAAAACTCCAAGATGGGCATTTGTGAACACCACATCCCTTGCAGAAGCATAGAGCAATTCTGGGCCCACACCGGACCAAGATGCCATCCTGAGCCAGGCTGGCTACACTCACATTTTCTGATAATGTATGTGTCCATCTCCCCGGGTTCCTAGGGCTTGACTGGAGCCGACAATGGTTCTCTATTTACTGCTTCATTAGCCCTTTACACTTGTTCTTAGCCTCACTGTAAAGGGGAGCATTCTAAAGAAAAGTAGGTGGTCCAAAGTTTTGAAACCTGCTATTCCTCCCAGAAAGCTAGTCAACGGGCAGAACCAGCTGTGTGCCCAACAGGTGTTCTGAGAACCCGTGGTCTCCCAGGTCTGAAGAGAAATGGGTCAAACAGATTTGAGGAGTTATGTCCTTGCCTCAAAACCCCACCACTCCCTGACTGCTGCCTCGCTACTCACCGTTATGTCCTGTAGGCTCCTAAATGAAGATAACAAGAATTCCAAGGTCCTGGAGGCCTTTGGAGACTGGGATCGTGAAGGACTGAAGCAGTGTCGCGAGCAACCACTTATGCTTGGAGTTGCTATCTTTTTCTACTTCTGCGGCTTGGTACTTGGTGATGGAAGGCTGGCCTGCCAAAAATAAACCACAACTGCAAACCCGGGATGCAGGCCAAGGTCCAGGAGGGAGAGGACTGGGGCAAAACAGTATCAGGGCCACCACCTGGTGGAGGCTAGGGGAAGCTCGGGTGGCTTGGCATCAGCAAAGCCTTTAATTTTGTGTATTTGCGCACATGGATGATGTGCCCAGAGGGCAGAGGTGCTGGATTTCCCTGGGGCTGGAGTTATAGATTGTTGTAGCTACCTGATGTGGGTGCTGGAAATCAAATTCTGGAGAAGCAGCGTACGACCTTATTGGATGAACCAGTTCTCCTGCTGCTTTTTGTCGTTTTGAAGATTTATGTGTATGGTGCCAGGTGGTGGTGGTGCACACCTTTAATCCCAGCACTCAGAAGGCAGAGGCAGGAGGATCTCTGAGTTCGAGGCCAGTCTGGCCTACAAAGCGAGTTCCAGGACAGTCAGAGCTACACAGAGAAATTTTTTTTTTTTTTTTTTTGGTTTTTCAAGACAGGGTTTCTCTGTGGTTTTGGAGCCTGTCCTCGAACTAGCTCTTGTAGACCAGGCTAGTCTCGAACTCACAGAGATCCGCCTGCCTCTGCCTCCCGAGTGCTGGGATTAAAGGCATGCGCCACCACCGCCCGGCTACACAGAGAAATATTGTCTCAAAAAACAAACCAACAAATGGTGTGTATGGATCTTTGGCTGGCAGTGTGTATGTGCACCACAGGAATGTCTTACACCCTCAGAGGTCAGAAAAGGGCACTGGATCCCCTGGACCTGGAGTTATAGACTCTTTTGAGTCAGTATGAGTCTGGGAAACTGAACGCTGGTCCTCTGAAAGAGCAGCAAGTGTTCAACATGAGCCATCCATCTCTCCATCTCTAGGGCCTGGAAACACCAACTCGGAAAGGACCACACTGTTGTTGTTGTTGTTTTTTTTTTTTTTTTGAGACAGGGTTTCTCTGTGGTTTTGGAGCCTGTCCTGGAACTAGCTCTTGTAGACCACGCTGTTTTTTAAAGTCTTGCTACACAGCCCTGACTATCCTCAATCTGCACGCCTGACTCTGCCTTCCTGTGTTGGGATTACTGGTAGATATCACCAAGCACGGCAATGACCTTTTACTTTTCCTCGGATTGAGTGCTACTTTTGACTCAGCCACATGTGAGACAGACTGGCTCAAACTTGTTCCAGTCTTCTTGCCTGCTTCCTAAGTACTGGGATTACATGGACCACCATGCCCAGTCTGGTTTAAACCTGGAGCAATCCCTGAAGAATAAGGCTAGAGCTTGGAGCAGCACTGGGATGAGCTTTCCCGAGGAGCTGGGTTTAATACCAAGCGTAAAGGGTGTGTGGGTTTAGCCTAATTTTGCAAGTAGAAATATCCAAACAGAGAAAATACTTGTACAGAGGATGGCAGCACAGGTCTCTAATCCCAGCACTTGGAAGGTGGATGCTGGATAGTCAGGCCGATTTGGACTACATAGGGAAAACCCTATCTCAAAGGGAAACAAAACAAAAAGGCTTCAATGTGTGTGTGGGTGGAGTGTGCGCCTTTATTTCCAGCACTCGGGAGGCAGAGACAGGCAGATCTTTTTGGGTTCAAGGTCTACAGAGCTAGTTCCAGGACAGCCAGGGCTGTTACAGAGAAATCCTGACTAGGAAAAAAATGGGGGGGAGGGGGTTTCTTAGTGCAGTGACACACACAGGAGGCCCACCCAGTAGTATGTCTTGCTTAGCACTTACCCACTTGACCTGTTGACATGGCTGAAGATAGGCCCCAGGGACCAGTGAATGCTAGGAAAGCATGCTGTCACCAAGTGTCACACACATTCCCTAACATATCATTACTGCGTGCTAAAGGTTCACAAAAATGTACCCTTCCATTAAAGGGTTAAGTAAGATTCCACACAGACAGAACTTTAGTCCCAGTATTCAAAGAGGAAGATGCAGGCAGATCTGTGAGTTAAGACAGTCAAGGCCCCCATTACATACCTTTGCCTTGAAAAAAACAAAAGGATGCCGCATGAAAACATGGGGGGGGGGCTAAAGACAGGGTTCAGTGGTTAGGAGCACCGCCTCCTTTCGAGCACTCAGGACATTTCAACTGTATGCACTCCAGTTCCAGGAAGAACTAGTTCTCTAAGGATACTACACACAAGGCACACTTATATACATCCAAACAAACATTCATACACAAACAAATAACTTGCAAATGAGCCATTTGGCAGGGAAAAAAAAAAACCCTTGAGGATCAGTACCTTTTGAAATGAAGAAAAAAATGAGCTCAATGTTGTACCCTTCTCTCAAAAGCTGTATGCTGTGCCAACTGCTTAAGAGTGTGAAGCTGGGGACTGGGGAGTTGGTTCAGTGGTTAAGAGCACTGGCTGCTCTTCCAGAGGTCCTGAGTTCAATTCCCAGCAACCACATGGTGGTTCACAACCAACTGTAATGAGATCTGGTGCCCTCTTCTGGCCTGCATGTCTACCTGCAGGCAGAACACTGTATACATAATAAATAAATTTAAAAAAAGAAAAAAAAGAGTGTGAAGCTGGGCAGTGGTGGATCTCTGTGAATTCGAGGCCAGCCTGGGCTACAGAGTGAGTTCCAGGACAGTCTCCACAACTACAGAGAACCCGTCTCTAACCACCCCACCCTAAGCAGTGTAAGGCCATGCTCTGTCTGACCAGTGAGGCACAGGATGTCTTTGCCATAGTAATAAAAAAAGTGATCCTCGATGGGTGTGCTTGCCTGCAGGATTTCACATTGCTACGCACCAAGTACAAGTTTATGGGACCCTGGAAGAGCTAAAACCATAAATGAGCAGCATGATTGACAATGAGCTTTATGAAGTAGCAGCTGAATTAATCTTATGCCTGGGGGTCTCCATAACATAAGGAAGTGTACTGAAGGGTCCAGCATTAGGAGGGTTGAGAACCACTAGACTAGACAAATCAAAAGACGTGCTGATATAGTTGTGTCCTTGTACAAACTCTATTATGTTGAGCAAGCACACGAAACCCATGACCCCACAATAAGGACAACTACCACACCTCAGAATAAAAGTTTTATTTTCGTTAACTCACAAAAAACCAATACAGTTGGTTCAAGGAGGCCAACACTTGCCCAATCCCCAACACTATGAGCCTCAGGGAATAATATCTATACAGTTAGAACTCCTAATGGAGCTGTTAGGAATAAGTTTGCTCAGGGTCCACACATGCACTATTATGTAGGGCCCACTTGAATTTCTTCAGTTTAAACTTCTTGATTACATTAAACCTGTTAAAAGAAAAGGTTAAGTCAGACGACAACCAACAATGCCCAGATACACTGTTTACCTTTCCAAGACAATTAAGTTTTCCTTCAATCAAACCTCAATCCCAGCCTTACCACGATGAAGATTGGTGTATGTATTTTTAGAGAAAAGGCCTGAAGCAGAAATTTAGCTAAAGAGTTCTAATCATCTCAGCACTCAAAGAGGCAGAGGCAGGGGGATCTCTGTGAATTAGAGGCCAGACTGGTCTACAAGAGCTAGTTCCAGGAGAGGCTCCAAAGCTACAGTGAAACCCTGTCTCAAAAAAAACCAAAAAAATAAAAAATTAAAAAAAAAAAAAGAGTTCTAATTTTGGACAAGCATCACCTCTCTCCCCCATTGTCTGGGAAAACGAAACCAAGCACTGTAGTGAGTCAGGGAACTGCTAAAATTACGAGGGAAACTACAGAACCACTGTGGCTGCCAACCCTCCAGTTATTCCAATCAGGAGCTCTACTTGGAGTCTTCACTCCACAACTATCAACCTCGGGGAAGATGACAGGTCACCTACCATTTGCAATTCTGCACTGCCTCAGCACTTCGTTGAAGCCCTCGCAGAGTTTGACGTCACTCTGGTTCTGGGCACACTCCAGGAACTGTTTGATCTCAAGAGAGCAAGGTCCAAAAGACTGCTGGTTCATCACCTGGGCTCCCTGAGGCTCCTGCCAAGACACAACATTAGGTATGAGAAGTTGGCTTGGTACACACAAGGCTCTGGACTTGATCCTAACACTGTAAACACAAAAAAGAAAAAACTAAACCAAACCAAACCAGAGCCAGGAGGTGGTAGTGTACAACTTTAATCCCAGCACTCAGAGGTATAGACAGGTGGATCTCTGAGTTCTAGATCAACCTGTCCTACAGAACTAGTTACAGGACACCAAAGGTCACACACACACAAACAAGTTCTTTTAGCGACTGCACTACAGTATGGAGTGAGTCGGGCAAGGGGTTGGAGGTTGAAATACACACACACACACAGACTCAGGTCATCCTTGAAATAAGAATGGCCCCTTTATTGTGCTCAGGGGCAGCTTATATAGTGCTCTGGCCGCAGCCCAGCTCTCGGGACCTTTCAGTTGCCGACCCACCAGAAACCACGCCCCTGCCGTCAGGCTTGTACTCTAAGCAGCTGCAAGCATAGGAAAGACAAGCTGATTACTCTGGCACAGGAAATTCAGAATCTGGGGGTCCACAGTCCCCAACAAGTTTTATCAAAACAAACAACAAACCTGGCTAGGAACCTAATAGTATGTGTGCTTTGCCCAGGGACTGAACCCCAACACCACAACATACAAAAAAAAGGCCATTCTTAAAGAAAAATAGGATCATTACTGGAAAGACATGGACGAGAACTTCAAGTGCACCAGATTTCAAGAGATTACATGCTTCTTAGTACACACAAAATCCACAGATCCACAAGAGGGCAAAAACTATCAGGTCAGGGGTCACAGGCCGTCAACAGGACTTGTGATTATGTAACAGAGACTGAACTGAAAGGCAAGGCCTCATGGCTGTAACTCCAATCCTTGAGAAGCCAACCAAGGAGACAGCTACAAGCTTGGAGCCAGCTTCGGTCACACACTGAAGACTGTCTCCAAGTGAAGCATAGGAATCCAGTGTAGCCAAGATAAACTCTTAATGCCAAGGCAGGATTGCT